CATTTTCTTAACAGATTAAATAAAAGAGTTCACATAAAATAGAATGGATGGAGTATATTTCTCTGCCATTCAGCAAGTGTTTGTTTGTAAAAAGAAAGAGTATAATGATTAAGAAAATATCAAATTTCAAGAGTTTAATGATTTTATATATTTTCGTAGATGCTTGTATTGGTAAGTGTTTGAAAGGCAATCAGCAACATTACTTTTGAACGGTAAGATGGACGTTTTGTTTCTTATTTTCTCCCTAGTTGTTTTTTTGCAGAATCATAAAAATATCCTCTTTTCCTCGTTACTTAAGTTCGTACTTTGATATAAAGTTTCACCTTAGAGGAAAAGTATAATTGCATAAACAGAAGACATCTATGGTTGAATAGTCAAATCGACACACATACTTGCTCTAATCAATACGTATTCAAATCTAAAATACAATGACAAGAGCATTAACAATTCAAGACATTGATATAACAGATGTAATTAATTAATTACTTCACTTTCAAATGCTTAGAAAAGAAAGGTTTAGGATATAACATTATAGAAGATTTTTCTCTGTTAATGTGTTAACCAATCATAACATGCCATTTACATTGCAATACTATAACACATAGTAGAACCGGGAAGAATATTTTCTTAGTAAAAATTGATTTTTCTTTTATAAAATTTAAGACATTACTATTATTTTCTTATAATTTATTTATTTATTGAGATCGCGCGAGTGAATTTACTAGTTTTAGTATAAAAACAAATAATTGTCTCTAAGTCTCCGTCATGAATCAAGTAGAACCCAAATTCGGCTTTTTAAAAGTTGAATAGCCAATTTATTTTCCGAAATAAAATCTCCTCTTGATTTCATTTTTGTTTTTAATTTCACATGTACTTGTTTATTCTAAATTTTGAAGTATAAACATCATGTAACAAAAAGAAAGAGAAACAAATCAAGTGCAGTTACTTTAAGGATTAATCAAGTCAAACCACAAATCACTCCCTTGATTATGGATATGGAAAGCAAGGACTCAAATGAATCCAACCCATCTCTCATGCAGGATTTGGAGGCACTCCTTGGGTCAAATATCTTAGAATATTTTGTGCCTCAATCAAGGATCAATCTACAACAGCTACTCAAAACTCTCCAATAAGAAGATTGACAAACTCAAGGATTCGATACGCAATTACAACATCTATTTCTAAGCCTTTCTAATTCTTAGTATCAACACTATATTCTTGAGTCTACTAGTGTCACAAAAGATAGGAAGAGTTAGAACACAAAATGAAAGTTGTATTAATACTATAAAGAATTATCATTGTTGTATATCGTTGGTGGTGAACGTTCACAAAACCATCACTACTGTAAACATTTACAAGCTCTAAGAGAACCCTTATGACCCAAGGGAACTGGACGTTGGTACCACACCGGTACTGAACCAGTATAAAAACTGTTGTGTTTTCTTTACTTTCTGCTCTTTTAATTTAACTCTACTGAAGTCGAACACTGCATAAAGCCTAGTCGACTAAAATCACACTTAGTCAGCTAAGGTTTTAAAATCGGCTATAATTCACTTCCACCCCCTCTTGTATTTTCAATTTGTATCAGAGCTTGACTCACGAACTTTGCTTAACATCAAGTGAGGAAAAGATTATGGGATCAAATACAGTCGTTGGAGCGTTATTCCAAGAAGGAACTTCTCAAGTACAACCCTCGTACTTAATTGGTCAGCACTTTTCTCACTGAAAAGTACTCTTGGAGACCTACACTATGTCATATGACACTAAAGTTTGGCGCGTGACCAAAAAGAGAAATTTTCCAATTCCACCAAAGAGAGATGACAGTGGTGAAGTCATAGTATCATCTGATCCTCTTGATTTAGATGATTACATTGAAGAACAATCAGTTGTCATAACAGTAAATGCCAAAGCAAAAATATCTATTGTATAATGCTATCAGTGGAGAAGAATATGAAAAGATATCAAGCTGTGAAACTGTAAAGAAAATGTAGGATAAATTAGAAGTCACATATGAAGGAACCAACAAAGTGAAAGAAACAAGAATCAATCTTCTAGTTCGAGACTATGAATTATTTCATATGAAGGACGGAGAATCAACAGAAGAAATATTTTCCAGGTTCAGCAAAATACTTGAAGACGTAAAATCATTTGGACCAATTAAAAGTGGGGAACATGTCAGAAAAATTCTAAGAAGTCTTCCCATGATTTGGCAACCCAAAGTCATTGCATTGGAATGTCAGGATCTTGATAAAATATCATATGATGAGCTTAGAGGTGATCTAATTGCATTTGAAAAAAACACATTTAGACAGGCAAGTTCAATAAAAAAAGAAGAAGACAGTCGCATTCAAAGCAATTGTGGCTGAATCAGAAAATGAAGAAGAAGAAGGAGGAGGAGGAGGAAGAGAACAAGATATGAACATAGCTATGCTTTCCAAAGTGGTAACAAACATGATGAAGAAGAACCGATACAGCAGAAGAGGAAAATCAAACTTCAAAATAGAGAAGATGAACAATGATAACGATAAAAATGATGGAAGATGCTACGAGTATAGAAAACATGGATACATCCAAGCAGAACACCCTGAACTGAAAAAGAAACTTAGTAGGAACTTTCAAAAGAAGAAATCTTTTGGAGTTTGGGATGATGAAGAAGAATCTGATCACAAAGAAATCGCAAATATGTGCTTCATGGCCATCAATGATGATAGCGATAAAGACTCAGGCGAATTTGGCCTCATGGCAGACGAAGGTACAAGTGAGGTATGTCTTCTTACATGTCCTAATTGTCATGAACTTCAAGAATTTATTGACATTGCTATTATAGATATTGAGAAAGTTCTGAATGAACTTCGAAAAATCCAAAGAGAAAATAAAGATTGGGTGTTGAAGTTGGAAGTATGTGAAATCGAGAGAGATATGCTTTAAGAGGAAGTTAATGAACTTCAACTTCAACTGAATGGATTACGAAAATCCACCAGCCATAGTTCTGTTAAATCAAATCAATCTTTCCTCATAAATCTCCAACTAGAAATCCTTCTTCATGTACTTACAGTGGTAAAAGTGGGCACAATTCTAACCATTGCAGGTTTATAATCAAAGCAGAAAAAGCTATGAAAATTCTAATAACCCCCCATGCTTCTACTGTGGAAAACTCGGTCATATCACTAACCATGCAAGCTTAAGAACAACAAGAGATGGGTCTGGTGACCCAAGACGTCGAGTCAAGTTAACACTCAGAACACTAGCCATTTAGGACCCAAGCAAGCTTGGGTACCTAAAACAAGTAATTTTTTATTGCAGGAACAACACAAAAAGAATAGAAAAGGGAAATGGTATCTTGTGGAGATACCGGAGTTGGTCCCAACAGCGTACCGTAGACTTGTTCGGATCCAGCTACCCAAATGAGACTTGAGGTATAGCTGCATGGCGTCCGCAGCTCTGAAGTCCCCTTCTACTTCTTTTAGCTGTTCATTTGATTCAGATAGTTATATTTATTTCAGACCATTATTTGTAGTATCATAGGCGCTCATGTATTCGTGATAACAGATCCGGGGTTGTATTTGAATTTCGTCACTTATTAGCTTATTTATCTTGTTTTAGACTATCCAATTTATTTATTGTCCTCGTATTTGAAGTTTATTAAAAATAATTAATAAATACATCCTAACGTTGATTTGCCTAGCAAGTGAAATGTTAGGCGTCATCACGATTTCGAGGGTGAGAATTTTGAGTCGTGATAACTTGCCAATTCTAGTGCACCCAATTAGTAATTTCCTCTGAAGTTGTGATTGATTCTTTACGGTTGATAACTATTGTTTCGATCCGGAAGAAGGTATGGGTGTTATTGCTAACTTATTCACAGAAGGCTTCAAGAGACCTTTTAAGATTTCAGCTTTATTATGCGACTCACTCTTTAGAGCATCATTTTCACCAATATTCAATTCTCTTTTCAAACTAGAAGCTCAATAGTAATATTTTGAGATATGAAATTAGTAACTTTTGATCTTGATTTGAAGAATTGGAGGAAAAGTAAGAGCAAATTGGAGAGAAGTGAGTTGGGGAATGGGTCGGGTTGGGTTATTTTCTAAGTTCGATTGGTTCATTCTTTCAGAATGTGCCACGTGTTTTTAGGTTTTCACAAAATTAATAAATACATATTTCATTATTTTTTTATTTAAACTTCTATAATTTAAGCATGAAACTAATAAAAGAAATTGCAGGGCAGCTGAAAACTATGAACACACTATCCTTAATACTGTAATATCTGATTTTAGGAGAAAGATGCTGATTAGAAAGTAGCCTAGCTATTCATTAATAATTTATATAATTATCTTATACTAACTATTTTAATTGTACAAATAATTTTAAACCGTCCGTGCATAAATAGATTTTACTAAACATTACCTTGGAAAATTTGAAAAGTAACTTAGCACCACTCTCGGCTCATGAAACAAATACAAACGCAAATAAAATTCAACTAAAAATGGTATATAACCATCAAAATACGACAAGTTAAAGACACAAAAAAATAGGGGTTGGATAAATTTGTAGCACAGTGTATGGGTAGCTCTGCAGAAGCACGTGAGCCAGATCAATATGTAAGATTCTGCTTTAGCCAACGCACGCCTTGTACCACATAATTTTGTTTACTATACACTCTTTCTGATGAATTTCTCATGCTATGGTTCTCACGTGATTTTCCTCCAACCAAAGTAAAGATTATCCGGCTGAGGTCTCAATTTTTTTTTGACAGTTAGTAAATATCTTAAATAATATCTATATATTTTGATTGATATTTTAAAATTTAAATCTTAGACCGATACATTGATCGATTTGGGGCACAACTTAACTTTTAGTGCATTGATTGGATTCAATTCCGCCTTCTGCACTTGTTCAAATATTTATTTGTCGTCCTACTTTGAACTATTAGGTCCTCCTAAGCCAATATCTATATATAGCAGTGGTCTTTACTCACTTCCCACCTTGAACTAAAGCAGCTTGTCATAGCATTACTGAGAGCTTACACATCAAGAAGCCAGCTGAAATCAATTCAGAAATGGGTCAGAGGAAAACTTTTGGGTTTATCTTTGTGCTTCTCATGATTTTTGCCTTAATACGTAAGTGTCGCTCAATTCGTCGGTCGCTTTTTATTTACTTTGTTCTATATCTACTAGTCACGAATTTATCATACAAATCAATCAATCTATCTAAATTAATTTGGGATGGGATATATGAATCTTATACATCCATTCCCCATTATTCTAACCTTTTTATTTTAATACTAACTGTCAACTTACCTCAACTCGTTTTCTTATTCGGACATAGAACCATTTGTGTTTGCAAAACTCACGTAGATGGAGTCAGGAGCAGAGCTGGAGCTTCGGATGCGGGTACGGACGTGCCCATTTTGGTCCAAACTCTATATTTGTCTTTAAAAGTTCATTGAATATATAATAAATTATCAATTTAGAACCTAATAACTTAGAAGGAATAGAATCTCGAACCCATTAATTTTAAATTCTGGCTCCGTCTCTGAATGAAGTTATGCTTATTTATCTCATCAATTATAGTTAAAAGTTTTTTTTATGAATGCAGAAATGGAAATGATGCCACAAGTAGAAGCAAGAGTTTGCATGTCACCTAACGAGGAAAAGCCCAAAATCATACATGATATTTGGCTTTAGACTTAAAGTCATACATATTCTTTCATATGGAACACTAATAGTACATTTTTATTAACAAAGTGGTGCACTTTTAGTCATAACATTGAGAAAATGCCTAAAAACATACATTATCTTTGGCTTTAGATTCAAAATCATACATATTCTTCCACATAGAGCACTAATAGTCTATTAATTTTAACAAAGTGATGCACTTTTAGTCATAACACTAAACACATTTTAATTTTTAACAGATATTTAAGATTTGACAAAATATTTGTTCCCTTTATTTTCTTTTTACCGAAAGAAATAAAGATGACAGATTTATCTAGATAGCAAATAGAAAATATACATAGAATTTATTTACTATTTATCTATTTACTATACGTAAAATATACATTTTACTAAGAAATGTTAAACATCGTTAATTTTTATTTGCAATGATTTTTATTTAGATAACCTCAAATGTTATCTAGATTTTTTATTATATACATAATATTTCTTAGTAAAATAGTAAATAAATTCTATGTATATTTTTTATTTGCTATCTAGATAAATCTGTCATCTTTATTTCTTTCGATAAAAAAGAAAATAAAGGGAACAAATATTTTGTCAAATCTTAGATTTCTGTTAAAAATTAAAATGTGTTTAGTGTTATGACTAAAAGTGCATACTTTGTTAAACTAAATGTACTATTAGTGCTCCATGTGAAAGAATATGTATGACTTTGAGTCTAAAGCAAATAACATGTATGGTTTTGGGCTTTTCCTCTCTCCTAGCCATGGATATCATGGTCCCTGTTGGCATGATCACAATTGTGCTCCTGTTTGCAGAAATGAAGGCTTCTCTGGTGGTGACTGTGTTGGTATCCAACGCAAATGCTATTGCACTAAGCTTTGTTAATTAATTTCTATCTCTACCATACAAAAAAGTGGAGGCATTAATGACATATGGTTGATCACTAGAACTGCTAAACAATGTCTTTGTAAGTTCAGTTAATTTGTTTCTCTTTCTTAATCATTCAATGAAGATTTTCAATTCATCTTTGCTGAATTGTTATGTCCAGGTGTTTAAAACTTGACTTGTTTTGTTGTTCTGTTTATGGGATGGACTTGCAGCTTATAGAAATTCAGACAAGGAGTTTAGTTTTAATTTGAAACTTCATTGATCCAAAAGAACAGATAAGAATATGTCTGAGCAAATAGCTCCCCTTTTTTAAATACATAAATCTACCTTTTCATACAAAACAGGAGCTGTAGTGAGACAGTCAAATGAATGTAGAATAAGTGTAATGCATCTTCCAACAGGAATATGTCTCAATTTCTGTATAACTGGATGGTCAAGTGAAGGGGAGCTTTGGAGCAACGTTAAGGTTGTTTTCGTGTGACATATACGTCACAGGTTCGAGTCGTGAAAATAACTATTAATGTTGTTTATGGCTTAGGGGCGGTACGTGTTAGTTCCAGTGAGGTTGAACATAACCTAACTTAATTATGGCAAGGGCAGGCAGGTGTTAGTTCGAGCGAGGTTGAACATAACCTAACTTACTTATGGCTGAGGGCCGGTAGGTATTAGTTCGAGCGAAGTCGAACATAACCTAACTTAATTATGGCTGGGGGTCGGTAGGTGTTAGTTCGACCAAGGTCGAATTTAACCTAAATTAATTATGGCCGAGGGGCGGTAGGTGTTAGTTCGAGCGAGGTGGACCATAACCTAACTTAATTATGGCTGAGGGCCGGTAGGTGTTAGTTCGAGCGAGGTTGAACATAACCTAACATTCAGAGGGATGCGCCGGTAAGTGTAAAGTTTATTGCCTTTATATTGTTATATTTGTTACATACTTGGAGAAATATAAAGATTTTGGGTGTTGGTAGGCGTTCCAGTTCTAGTCCCGGTCTATCTAGTCCCTTCATTGGTCGATTTGGAGAGTAGTGAGAGGTCGAGAATTGAAATAGTAACCAGGGCTTAGCCTTCACGTACTTCGACTTGGAGTGTTCCCTTCGTTGCCTTGTTAAAAACTTCCTTGAGAAAATACAATTGAGACAAAACTCAAGTGAGGGAAGAAAGAGTACGGCTTGGGGACACTCTTTCCTTTAGAAGTTGAAGTACTTGAGGTGGTTGATATTCCAGTTGTTTGTTAATAGCTTTCCTTCCATTGTTTCTAGTTGAAATGATCCTTTATTCGCTTTTGGTGTGATTTTTTACAGACCATTCCAAATTGTTCCCAGCTTACCTTCCCTGGGATCTTTGCTAGCTTGGGTTTTAGCTTTTAGTATGTAGTCTCCGATTTTGAGCGGCCTGACCTTTGCTTTCTTGTTATAATAACGTTCTTCTTGCTGTTTTTCAGCGATCATTCTTATATAATCCATCTCTTCGTCGAGTTCCTGTCTTCTGCCTTCGTTGTTACTCGTGTCGCTCTCTTGAGAATACCTTAGACTGGTATTACTACCTCGGTCCCATAGACCAAAGAGTAGGGTGTCTCTTCGGTGCTTGTTTTCCGAGTTGTTCGGTTTTCCTACAATACTTCTGGTAGGACTTCCGGCCATAGTCCCTTGGTGTCCTCGAGCTTCTTGTTCATGATGTTTAGTATTGATTTGTAGGATGACTTTACTTGACTGTTGCCCGCGGTGTGGTACGGGGTTGAGAGTATTCCGTTGACGCATCTGATTTCTTTAAGAAGGCCGAATCGACATATGATATTTCTCCATATAAAAGTGATTACTTCATATTCCTGTATTTGGGCGAATACTCCTGTTTCCACCAATTTAGAGAAAGTCAGTTAAAACTAAAAGGCATCGTACGTTATCTCGTCTTGCCTGGAGGGGGGCTACGATGTCCATTCTCCATTTGATGAACGACCAAGGTAAGGTGACCGAATTGAGGTATTTTCCTGCTTGGTGAATCATTGGGGCATACCTCTAGCATTGTCCGCATCTTTTTACGAAGTTTACGACCTCCTTTTTCATGGTGGGCCAATAATATCCTGCCCATATGAGGCATATGACTAGCACTCGATTACCGGAATGAGCCCTCGCAATGGCCTTCGTGGATATCCTCAAGGACGCACTGCGTCTGATTTGGGCTAAGGCACTTTGCTAAAGGTTCGTCGTAGGTTCTCTTGTATAGGTCATTATGGAGGGCACTGTATCGGCCCGCTTGCATTCTCAGTTTTCTTGCCTTCTTTAATCGCTTGGGAGTCTACCGTCCTGCAAGGATGCGATAATATGATTGCGCCAGTCCCAAGTTAAGTTAATGGTTCTTACCCTGACTTGGTCTAGCGAGGAATTGGGGAGATGGACCACGATTTTGTCTCCCGTTGTGATACTTTTGGTAGTCGCGACTAGTTTGGCGAGTCCGTCTACCTTGGCGTTCAGTGCTCGTGGAATCTAGTCAAGCTGACATTCGTCGAGCTTAGGCAACAGCTTGCAGATTTCGGTCTACTATTTTTGCAATCTTTGTTCCTTAATTTGAAAAGTCCCTGTGACTTGGTTGACTACGAGCCGGAAATCACAATGTAGTTTTAACCGTTTTGCCCTATACTTGAGCGCTAGTCTGAAACCTGCGATGACGACCTCATATTCGGCCTCGTTGTTAGTCATGTTTGGGCACCTTATGGACTGGCGAATTACTTTGCCTGTTGGGACTTCGAGTACGAATCCAGTACGGACCCCGACGCGTTCGACGTGGTGTCGGTGTATAGGACCCAGAGGTCTTGTGTTTGGCTGGAAGTTTGGAGGGCTTCCCTTTCAACTTTAGGCATTATTTTTTCGCTCATGTCGGCGACGAAGTTAGTGAGCACTTGTGACTTTAGCGTCATTCGCAGATGGTATATGATATCGTGCTCGCTGAGCTCAATGGCCCATTTGGCCAGCCTCCCCAATAGCTCGGGTTTATGCAAAATGCTTTTTAGGGGGAAAGTTGTGACGACCATGATGGGGTGGCACTGTAAATACGGTCTAAGCTTTCGTGAAGCTACGACTAAGGCCAAAGCTAGTTTCTTGAGGTGCGGGTACCTCGTCTCGGCATCGACTAATGTTTTGCTAATATAATAGATGGGATTTTGCGTACCTTTATTTTCTCGAATTAGGACATCACTCACAGCTACCTCGGATACATCTAGATAAACAAGGAGACGTTCCCCCGGTTCGAGTTTTGAAAGCAAGGGCGGCGACGAGAAGTATGCCTTTAGTTCCCTCAGAGTCCGGATGCACTCTGAAGTCCATTAGAGGCCGTTATCTTTCTTGAGTACGCCAAAGAATTTATGGCATCTATCCGACGAACACGAAATGAACCTTGATAGGGTGACGATGCAACCAGTCAATCTTTGGACCTATTTTTTGGTGGTTAAGAGTTCGCGTATCCCTTCAATGGCTTTAATTTGGTTAGGGTTGACTTCGATCCCTCGCTGTGATACGAGGAACCCTAGGAATTTTCCTTAGGCTACGCCGAAAGCACACTTCTCCAGGTTCAGTTTCATTCCGTACTGTCTGAGTATGTCGAAAGTCTCTTTCAAATGATCGATATGATCTTCTCTTATTTTCGATTTAACTAGAATATTATCTATATATACTTCCATTGTCTTGACGGACTGATCCTTGAACATTCTCGTCACCAGCCTTTGATAGGCTGCCCCCTCGTTCTTTAGTCCAAAGGGCATGGCCCTATAACAGTACGTTCCTTGGTGGGTGATGAATGTGGTTTTTTCCTGATCCTCATATTCCACGAGGATCTGATTATATCCTGAGTAAACATCCAAGAAACTTAGCAACTCGTGTCAGGCCGTGGCATTAATGAGTTGGTCGATGTGAGGCAGCGGGAATGAATCTTTGGGGCATGCTTTGTTCAAGTTTGTGAAGTCTACACACATCCGCCATTTCCCATTCTTCTTTTTAACTATTACCATGTTGGCGACCCATTTGGGGGTACTTGGATTCCCTTATGGAACCATTTTCTAACTGTTTTCCCACCTCTCCACACACTGCATCATTGATTGCGAAGCTGAATTTACGCCTGACCTGCCACACCGGGGGTGGTAGGGGTCGACGTTTAATTTGTGTGTGGCGGTCTCCTTTGGGATGTCTGGCATATCGATATAGCCGAAAGAAAATAAATCCGCGTTAACTTTTAAGAATTGACTGAATTTACTTGGCTCTTGGAGCTTGCAACAGACATAGGTCTTCGTGATGTGGTCGTTGGAGTCTAATTGAACGAGGTCGAGGTATTCTATGGTCGATCATGCGGCTTCGACTATGTCGGGATCTTTGAT